GGCAGTAACCTAACAACTAAACAATTGAAAAACTAGGGATCAATATTCAACATTCGTCAGCAATGAACAATTTTCATAAATAAAACATGATTTACTCGAATACTTTGTGAGTAAAGAAAAAGAGACTACCATAGATTTGTTATTAACCCCAAATGCCTGATGGGTACAAATCAGTATTCAGGAGTTACCTTTTTTGCATTAAACCACATTACAACAGAAATTGGAAAATATGGCCTGGAAGTATTTCTATAAGACATTGTTGTTTTCCTGTTCTATGAAGCTTTCTTATTGGCAAACATGGTGATAGATTTTATAGATGCTGTCAGGCACCGACCATTGAAAACAATAGATCTGTTTAAAATAAGAAATGAAAATAACTGTTTGATGTTGTTGTTTTTTTTTGGCAAATAAGAAAAATGACCGTTTGATTTAAAATTGTTTAAAATTATTTTGAAATAGATTTATGAAAATAATTTATTTACATGTGAAAAGGCTAGACTTTGTGGCGTAGGGATGTGATTGAGTGGTTTTGTTTACAATTATTTCCCATTATTTCGGCAGTGAAAATCTGCAATAATTATTTGTTCATCATGTTGTGTGATTTACACATTATAACAAAACTAAGAATATGACGGATGAATTTAGAGTTAGCTGTTTAATGTCCAGTGGCAACTATTATATGTATTATTAGGAGGACATTTAAAATGTTATAAATATGAACAAGGACATCCTTTGTTATGCAAACATGTATCACGGCACAAGCGATGACCTATAGACCATGTGTATCATATGTATATTTAGGGTGGGGTTGCTCCGAATAAAGGAGTAATAGATACAGGAAAATAAAGAAAAAAATAAAATAAAATTAGAATAGAGTGTAACGGGAAAAATAAAGAACAGAGGAAAATGGTATAAGAAAATTAAAGAATAGAGGATCTATTTTTTTTGACGGACAATTGTTGATGATAGTTTAAAGTCAAGTGCATTTATAGTTAAAATAATACACAATCGTATGTACATCGGTAGGGATTTATGTTTAGGGTTGATGAGGCACATAACGAGTAATTGTTTTTATTTGAAATTTCTCGAATATTTGTTTTTTTCGACTGATTTGATAGATGAATAAAAAAATCTATAATCTAAAAAAATTGGTTTAAACGATATATGGATACAACTGCTATTCAGTCGATTTTAAAATACATGCGATAAAAGAGAATACATAAAAATATTTAACAAACCTTTTGGACAAAAGGTCAACCTTAAGACCCCAAATAAACTTTTGTAAGAACATTAGATTAATTCCGAATTCCATCTTAAATCAATTGTTCATTTAGGTAAAAAAAATAATGTTAATACCTTGGGCTATTTTCAAAAAATGTTGACTAAATACCATGCAGACTGCAGTTTACTCGCACATTCACCAAGTACGTATTTCTACGGCTAACAAAATTCTTAATCGTATCTTTTAATTTGTTTAAATTTATTTCAGTGTTTATTTTTCAAACGTTTTATGTAAATAATTTTGGATCAACATCGAGTCAGATCAAATTATAATTTATTAAATTATTAATTAAAAACTGAAACATGCATCCAATCTAAATTTTACGCCTATTATCACCTATATAAAAAAATTAAACAGAACACCATTCATGTTTTATATTTAAAAAAAAACATATACGCTAAACGAAACTATGCACGCCAAGAAACGATGTACACAAAACGATACGATATACGCTAAACGAAACGATGTACGCTAATACGCTAAACGATACGGTATACGCTTAATGAAACGATGTACGCAAAACCATACGATGTACGATAAAAGGGCGCTTATGTTATCGTTTATGGTATGGTTTATGGTATATGGTTTCGTTCGTACATCATTCGTTCAGCGTCCGTACAACGTTCGGTCAGCGTTTCGTTTGCATTCGTACACCGTTCGGGAAGCGTACGTACATTGTTCGGGCATCGTCCGTCCATGATTCGGGCATCGTTCGTATTGTTAACTTTTACGTTTCACGGACTGTATATACTGTGAACGTTTTGTGTATATTTAAATATATTTACCTATGTTGGAAGACGTATATAATGTCAAGTCATAAAAATACAAATGATTTAGTCTCAAAGAAAACTTGTAAGATTTCCGCTGCTATGTTTGCTGAATAGGTGCAATTTAGGTACTGTGACGTTAGTGTCTGTAGACCCCCTGGGCTATCATACTAAATATAAATTAACTGCTTGATGGAAAAGAAAATCCTTTTGGAATTTTATTCCTGACACATGTAACAACAGAAATTCATCAATATTCATTATGTGGAACTACTTTCATTTTTTTTTAAATGTGACACACAATATCCCCATCTGATTGTGTTTTAGCCGAAACAAACATCGCAAAATCGAGTTTTTCTCTTGTTTCTTGCTAATAGTACACCACAATCAGCACCCTGTCTGGCTATTTTAATGTTGGAGTAAAAAAACTATGGACAATTAATTCTGAATTCGGGGATAACGTGTTTATTTCGTTGAAAATCTGAATTGTTTGCATTTGGATTGAGAATTTTTCAAAAATCACAAGGCGACATTGGGGAATTTTACTGAAAATCGAGGGCGACATAAACTTCTCCCTGGAGCTTCCTTAGAGCTTAGTCGGGAATCCTAGGGCGACTTCACTTCACCAGGTGTGGTGACCCCTGGATAAAGCTTTTACTACAAGTATCACATAAACTTCACATTTTTAACAATCCAAGACAATGAGGTCAAGGTCAGATTAATCCTGTCAGACAGACATGTACACCTTACAATTATCCCATACACCAAAAGCAGTTGACCTACTGCTTATAGTATCTGAGAAACGGACCTAATCACATAAGTTTAACCTTGATCAGTGATCCATGAAATGAGGTTGAGGTCAGGTGAACCTTGTCTTACAGACATGAAAACATTGCAAGGAACCCATAAACCAAATATAGTTACCCTATTACTCATAATAAGTGAGAAATTCACATGACAAAAAAACTAATTTTTTTTCAAGCAGTCGCTGAGGTCAAGGACAATGGACATACGACAGAGGGAAACTTCGTAACATAAGGTATCTGCATACAAGGTAAGAAGCATCCAGGTCTTCTACCATCTGAAATATAAAGCTTTACACAAACAGTTTAAGCCGCAGCCACCGCCTGATAGTAATCCCTATGTCTCGCATACTGTGACTTTCATCACAAGCAAGACAAAAACTTTCATAAATTATATTAAAAAAAACAGTTTTAACAGATTTCACCTACATTGATGACATTACTAATGACACAATTGGAAAAACACTTTTTTAACTGAAACAAATTAAACATTTTAACATGTTTTTATCAAACTTTCACAACATTTTCGCAGTTAGGGCCAAAATTAAGAGTTACTGAATCAACTCCCTTCCAGTAAAAAACAAGCATTCTGAGAGTATTGCATGGCAATACATAGTTCCCTACCGGTTAAAAATTCATTTTACTGGAACAAAATGCTAACTTGTTCTATAACTTGTCATGGTGTAAACAAAAAGTAAATATCATGTCAATATCTTCAAGCATGACTAAAAATAGTGTGGAAAACTGATTATATGAGTGAAAAAACATTAGATATGATTAATAGATATAGGAAGATGTGGTATGAGTGCTAATGAGACAACTCTCCATCCAAGTTACAATAGTTCTCTAAAATTAGATATGATGTAATACAGTGTATATCTATTTTCAAATTATAATCAAATATAATTAATAGTTCCAAATATTTTTTCTTTCATTTGTCACAAACTAATATAGATTTGTAACTTATCTATAAAATGTCAACAACTTTTATCTACACAATGTAATGTATTGAAATATATACATTAATAAAAATAGATTATTATCTAATTAAAGGATTTCTCTTCATAATTTTTTTTATATATATATATATAGCATTCAGAAAATTAGTTTATACTAAATAACAAACAAGCCTGCCAAAAAATTCTTCAAATAATTTAACAAAGAATGTCTTTTAAAAAATGAGTTATCTCCCTTTGTACACAAATATGGTTTAACATAGTACACTAACATTAGATATGGTCCAGAGTTATGGTCCATAACTCTGGACTAAATCATCAGACCGGAACAAAATTCGAACTTGATCTATAACTTGTCATGATAAAACTATTTACCAAATATCAAATCAATATCTTTAAGAAGGAAAAAAAAAGTGTGGAAAGCTGATTTGCCTGACTGACGGATGGACAGACACACAGACGGACAGACGGACGGAGAGCAAACCTAAAGTCCTTTCGACTTCGTCGGTAGGGGACTAAAAATAAGGATATTTGGTAAGATTACCAGTGAGACAACTATTCACGAGAGACCAAATGATGTGGAAATAAATCCAAGTCTATGCAACTTCTTCCAAACAATTTTACAAAAAATCCATCTCTTTACTGGCAGCAATTTTAGTTAATGCACTATCCAAAATTAGTGCTCCAGGTTCTGATTTTTGCTGTCAAATCTTCTAAATGCTAGTAGTATGAAGACTCAGCCAAATTAGGAATGATCTCAGAGTCCAAATGAACAGACATAGATGAATTTAAGAGTTCAGTGTCATCACACATATAGCAGTCCAGCAAAATCCACCTGATTTTGGTCACAGCACCAATATTTTGATGTGGATGGTTAGTACTTTGCTTTTAGAAAGATGTGGGTTCATTCAAAATTGGTTTACTAAACTGTCTAGAAACTTTATGCATACATATAGCATGATAATAATATGAAGTTATTTGGTCTTTGACGTTCACAACAAGGGTAGAATTAATCATGGCTCTAAGTAGCAGCAAATCTGTGACGAGTTAAATATGGATCTGATCAGTTAAATAGAAGACGAAGTAAAATTAGGTTGATTTCTCCTTGATGTATACACCATATTTCCTGTTATTCATAATGAAATATGGTGAGCATAAATTTTCTTTTTTGTAAGTGAAATAATAAACTTACTTCTGTTGTATTACCACTGACTGTGCATGCCAATGTCTTGATTTCTGTATTTTTCTTCTTATCAAAACTGCAGCATACTGTCTGACCTGAAGATAAAGTACTTAAAGTTTATTTTATTACTAGAAGCTCCAAAGAGCTTGAAACACTCAACACCTCAGCTGGTATCTGCTTTTGAACAAAAAACACTTTATTTAATGCTAAAGGCACTCAAGAAATAAAAGAAGAATGTGTCCATGAGACACAGATGCCGCCAATAGTAAATAAGCAAGAGTAAATGTACTTATTCAAATCTATTGACTTTTTTTTTTATTTGAAACTTTATGACATTTGTTTCTGTATGTAGTCATTCAAGATTGCTTTGGGTTTTGAGTGTTCTCATTGTTCAATAACAAACATTAATGAAGTAACTCGAGAATGGTTAAAGTGATACCACCAAAATTCAGTGTTTGGTGGTACATGTAATAAGCATTGTGTATAAGTTTCATAACATTTGTTTGAGGCAAAGTATTGTAAGAGTACGGAAACAGCAAATTCACCAATTTTTCAATTTATAAAGGAAAATAAGTCAAGAATCGTGAAAGCAACACCACCCATATTTGAACTTGATCTTTGTTCATTGGCAATAAGCTTTGAGTATAAGTTTCAGAACATTTAGTTGTGGCAAGGTAAAGTTGATCTACTACAAAAATTTATTACAGATATTGATTAGATGTAAAGCAGTAATCTAAAATGTAATAAAATAGGATGATACATATATTGCGGAAACTGAAAATTCACCAATTTTTCCAACATAAAGGGATATAACTCAAGAACACCGATAGTGACGCCACCCAAATTTGAACTTTACTTGTGTTTCACTTTGGTGGTAATAAGCATTGTCAATCTGTATCAGTTTAATAATATTTAGTCAAGGCAAACTAAAGTCAGAAAAGGAAACCAATTTTGAGATGTGCGCACAGACAGACAAGGGATATGCCACGGTGGGGACATAAAAACATAGATTTTTTTATTACTGTGGATTCATTAGTATTTCATGGGTTAAGGTGAACCAAAATATAAATGAATACAAAGTAGAAAGTACATGTAAATTGGCATTCATTATTATCCTTCAAAAATTTCCTTATTGATGATTTTTTATTTTATACATACAGTATAAAATAAAAAATATATTAAAGATATCGGCAATGATTTGGTATTCAAACTTTGGTTTCTTTTTGTATCCTTTTTTTTTAAGTTCTAAAACTAACTTTTATTCTGTGGGTTGTGTTGGTGTGAGAATAGTATTAATGGAACAAGTGGGTTTTCGAGAAAAAATTAATCCATTTTGACTACCAATGTATTTAATTCTCTTGCTTTTTGCTATTATTCTTATACACTTTTAAATGTAGCACATGTACCTACTAACCCTTAGGAACCCAATGCAGTGTGCTAGCTAGCTCTGTAACACAATTGCATGGTTTACACTTTGTGCTTATGCGTCACTAACCAGAAAATTCAAGCACTGTGAAAACTGGGATATCTAGCTATTGCTACTTATCTTATATAATGTACTTTTCTATAAGGGCTGTTCCAGAAGTGAATGTATGGGGGTGTTGGGAGGCACTTTCTCAGCTCTCACTTTTGATTCATTTAGAAAGATGCAAGACATTTTAAATTTCTAAATTTTAATGAACACAAAACAAAAAGCGTGATCCAACAAACATGTTAATGTTTGGAAGATCCAATATGTGAGTGATGTCCATTCTATCCACAGTATAAGTGGTATATTGTAACGTCCACCCTGTCCCTTGCTTTTTGTAGAATTGAAACCACAGCATGGATCTTTAAATTTTGTGACCTGCAATGAGAATTCAACAATAATGATAATGGCTGGTGGCATAGCTTATTATCTATGATATACAACAAAACTGAACTATGATCTGAAGATGAAACAAAATTCAAAGATACAAATACAATAACACTAGAGCACTTATTGACTACAAAACTTGATTATAAACATCAACCATTTAATAAATTTGCATGTGTTATGCGTATGTACAAGGTATATGTATCATAGATGACAAAAGTAGTAAACAACAAATAATTAGAAATGAAAACGTTAATATAACTATTTTTTCACATTTTAAAAGGACTGTAGTATTAAAGTGGTGTACTCTACAGCTTGATAGATGTAGGTTCAAATCTTAGTATGGACAAGAGAGAAAAACTTAAAATACCTTATTACAACAGTTTCTCTTAATAATATGCTAGATACAATAAATTTCATATTGACAAATGAGGTAGAAGATATGTGTTCATAGTATAGGCCCCCACCTAATTATATAACAGAAAGTGACCCAACTGCAACAACCAAACATGCTGTAGCTGCATACCAAATTGCAAATCGTATAGGTGGTCATAAAAAGAAAATCAAAATTAGAGAGACATACATAATTTAGAATTGTTTACCTTTATCCCTGTGTGAGGTGTCGAATATGGTGTACTAAAAATTTGCAGACAAGATTCCATTTACAAAACACATTATTTTGCAGGTGTATAGAAATTCAATGAAATCCTATAATTTTTAACACCCATTCATTACAACTGCTGGAAAATTACAGGAACCATGGATTACAGAAACATAACCGAAAACCTCATATACCAAAAAGAAGAGCCTGATTTATTTAACTAAATTTCTTTCCCAAATTTGTGACAACAAATATATAAATCTAATTAAAAAATAAATGGGGAATATGTCCATGGGACACAGATGATGCCCCCGCTTGCATATTATATAAAGTTATAAAGGGACATAACTGAAGAATGGTAAAAGTGACTCTACCCAAATTTGTACTGATCTGAGTTTTGTGGTAATAAGTATTGTGTATAAGTTTCATAACATTTGGTTGAGGCAAACTTAGGAAAGAGAACGGACACGAAAAATTCAGCAATTTTCCCATTTGTGAAGGGCATCACTCTAGAACGGTAAAAGTAACACCACCAAAATTCAAACTTGATCTGTGTTTTGTGGTAATGAGCATTGTGTATAAGTTTCATAGTATTTGGTAGAGGCAAAACCAAAGTAAGAGAACGAAAACGAAAAATTCAGCAATTTTTCCATTTGTAAAGGGCATAACTATAGAACGGTAAAAGTGACGCCACCAAAATTCAAATTTGATCTGTGTTTTGTGGTAATAAGCTTCATAACATTTGGTTGAGGCAAAATAAAGTTAGAGAACGGAAACCAATTTTGGGACGTACGAACGTGCGTCCAGCAGTGTTCTCGAAAACCGTCGGTCCTGTCGGTCCTGACTGCCAAAAATCGGCTAGGACCAACAATTACATGTGTAGTGGCAACCCCTGCCAGATGAAATTCATGAATTGATGAACCATCATGAACTGTTCATGAATGTCCATGAACAGTGCATGATTGTTCATAAGTTCATTAAGTTAGTTCATGAATTTAGTTCATGAATAGTTCATAAAATGCAGTTCATGAATATTTTCTGAACTTTAATGAACTGTTAGTCAGTTCATAATGTTCATAAATTGTTCATAATGTTCATAAATTGTTCATAACACATGTTCATGAACATTTTATGAACTTTTGATGAATCAATTAATTCATAAAATTCATAAATCAATTCATAACAGTTTCATGAACATTTTATGAACTTTTATGAAACAATAAATTTATCAACTTTGAAAAACTTATTTTCAATTATGACTTACAAAATTCAACTCAGATTTCTTTTTTGTTTCAGGCCTGAGGGGCATATCTCAGGGTTCTCACTAACTGGTATGCAAATTTGTCTGTCATACAAGTTCCCGTAAAATTTGACATCCATATCATGATATCACGATTTTAAAAATTTGAGGTCACAATTAAAAGTGATTGGTGCATCCCTTCAAAAGGTTATTCGGAGACAGATCTTACGATCATTTTGAGACAACATTCAGTTAAATAGCAAAAGTGTAAATTCATGTACATGTATGTTTATTAAAATAGCAATAAAAATATATATGCTCATTGTTGCCGTGCTGGGACTCCCCATGATCAAACATTATCACCTTCAAAAATACTTTCTGAGAACTCTGATGTCTCTTTAGTGTATTATTTGTAGTTTTAAAAATACATTTTTTATAATTTATTTCAGTTGACTTGGTGTGGGGTTTGACAAAAAAATAGCAGCTTCATATGTTCATACATGTACATTACCTCCAGCCCCCCCCCCCCCCCCCCCCCTTCTCTCTATAATAGTGAACATCTTATCAAGCAAATTGATATCTTTTTAAAGGGAAATTCAACATCAGGTGAAAATTGTTTAAAAGGACAACTTTAATACTTGAAATTGAATACATGTGACGTGTATACGAAATAAAGCAAAATTATGTCAATAAAAATGTATTCTCTTTACATTTGACAACAGAAATTAGCACAGCAGTTTTTTTCTTTCTTCACACTACGGCAGCAGAAGTACATTTTGAGAGTCATACAAAATTTGGGACTATAAACTTTTTAAGTTCTGTTACTTACTTTGAGATGTTTCTCATGATTCGTTTTTACTATAGTAAACTGCCAAATTATCATTTCTTTCTTCCAAAGATGTAATTTCTGACTGTTTCTCCAAGTTCAAACATGTGCCTTTCTTAATCATCATACGGCACATTGAAGAACTTGAAAAAAATCACAGATTTATGACAATTCATTCCTTCCTAGACATTGCAGACCAGTGTCAATAATTATCAACATCAGTGAATTACGTTTTACATAGTCTAAAACGCTTAAATGACTTTGACAAATGTTTACCATGTTTACAAAGCATTTAAGTGACTTGGATCAGAAATGCATTTCATATGGAATAGAAAAACGTGTGAATGACTGGGAATAGAAAAACGTCATAAATTACGTCAGCAAAATTGTGATTTGACGCTTAAAATACAAATGAAGATGTTTGATGAGCAGTGAATTAATCTAGCTGTCACATAAAGCAGATTTGTTCTTTCTATGTTGTGATGTTACACTATTGTTTCGGAAAAAGGGTGAAGGTTTGGTACCATTAAAACGTTTAAACCCGCTGCATTTGTTTGCACCTGTCCTAAGTCA